CTAAATTTTCGGTTTAAGACATGAATATTTCCATCTGTTATCTGCTGAAATATTACAAATGAGCCTTTTTCACATTTTGCAATTATTTGAACCTAGTCGTAAAATTAGTTTCGTAGAAGACACATTTTGAACTACCCTTTTAGCGATTCCAATTAATCACTTAAGCTGTTTCTTTCTTTTTTTTATGTATCAAGTTAGATATTCGAAAAAATGTGCACACGATCGCAACAAATATACACCGTGTGTATCACCTTTCAAGCAATCTAACAGGGAGGAGCAGACGCACTTTTACGCTGTTTGGTGACAAGGGAAAGTGGAGAGCGAGAAGGTGATGAAGAAAAAAATGAGAAAGGGATGTGTGTGCATTATTCTGCATCCTTTTACTCTTCCTCCTCCTCTTCAGCCCGTCATCGATGATAAAAAGGCTTAGGAGGAGGAGGAGGATGCGTTTAAAAAAGTGGGCCTTTGTTGACAAATTTATGTCGGCTTCTTTGAGTGCCTGAGGCCATTCTGACACCCCGTGATTTATATACAGGGTACGCAGGCTAGTTGCTTGCTTACCTACCTACGTGTAAGGCATAAATAACACGATAAAAAGTGGTGTGATTAGGAAAAAGTGAGGAGGAAATTTATTGCAGTTAGCAGATGTAGCCAGAGTAAAAGTTGTAGAATTTCTCGATGCTACTACTACGCGTGCCGTGATATTTACAAAAATGCTATTGTTTTTAAATGATATTAAGTCTAAGGCAAGTTAATCTTCAGTACCATTTTGTGATTTAAAATAAAATGAAATACATTGTGCGACTTTAACGGTACTTCATGGTCACTCTTAGCATAGGTAATTACTGGCATTTTTCAGCTCTACTTTAATAACTTCTTAAATCCAAAGGATCTGCCATGACAAGGGCTTCTGTATTAAAACCCTTCATTTTTTGAGCGTTTTATTTGAGAAGAATAAACATAATAATATTCTATCCTATGAAAAGATACTTTTGGAGAAGCAAAAAAGATTTTTAGAGTTATATCCTATGAGCATTTTGGTTGACTGAACTAATGCTAGTAATTTTCAAACATATTCCAATATGCTTTAATGGAAAAACATTTTGAAATTTGTAATTCTTTACAACAATGGAAAAAAACAGCAAACTTATAAGGTTGAGAAGCGAAGGATTTATTACCTGCAGGTACGAAAATGGCACAATGTAAAGGTATTCTACTGCAATGGAGATTTCGCTATAAACTACTGCCAATGCTTTTGTTTAAATAGTTTTTACGTTAATTTTAATATTTGGATTGCCAGAACATACTACTTATACTTGAAAGATTTAGTTATTTGAAACTTTTTCCCTTTGCCAAAAGTAAATGTCCAAATTAAGTTAGATACCATTATAAATGTGGTGAAAGGGGTGCCCTTTTAAAATATCAGTGTGTTAAGCCTTATCTACTGATTAATTGATTATGAGCTACTTTGACACCCTGAGGTGTGCATGTATTTTTAGGGGTGAAATGTGCCACTTAACCAACTTTTTGGATTATTAAACGAGTAATAGTAAAAAGAGCCAATGGAAAATGGAATAATCATAATATGAGCTAATGGTTCATTTTAGTGACTTACTTGGAAGATGGACCACAAGCTCATTGGCGACAATAACTAGTGGCAAGTACACGAATCGTTCTAAGTATTGGCTTATACATACAATCATTGCAACAGCACCAATACTCTCGATTGTGCTTTAAACCGTTCTTTTGCTTCCTAAAATTTTGGGTAATGGCTCATTGATTGAACATAATGGATGCGTTTCCAAGTCGTCTGTTTGACAAACCTGCTCTCATCGCTTTCCAAAATGTGGATTCTGGCACCCCTTGTAAGATTTCCTATACAACATTTTGAAAAGTTACATTTACCAAACATGGACCATTTGCTTCAGAAAATTAATCAAATAAAAAATGGTAAGAATTAATACATCATGCTAAGGAGGCCTAATATTATTCTCGGCAGTACCAGTAATCGAGAACCAAGTGTCATTACTGATGGGGTAAATATGGTTTAAGGGGTGTTAAGAATAAACTTAAGGTGATTACTGTGAATGACCGAGCAGTTAACTTCCATGACTTTTTCTTTCATAATTATTTTGAAATCTTTGTGACATGCCATGAAGTGAGACAATGAACTTGCGCGTCTATTAATTTATTCTTGACATCTATCGTAACCGTAAAAACATGAAGTTTGATGCTGACTAACATGTGAAAAACTAGCCCTATTTTTGCAGCCTATGTTATACTACAAAACATATTTAACTATCCTCAGAGAGGGGGTTCCAAATCTATCCAACACCCCTCCTTCGGACATCACTTCATCACCAGAAGACTATTATCCTTTGTATGCCAGTGTGTGAGACCATAGATACAAATATTCTTTACTTACTAGATATCAAATAGTTATGGACCCATATTTTACAGGACACTAAACCTCCTCATGCGTCGCTGCGATAAGGAGAACGGCAGTCTTAGATGAAAGTTAGATAATGCTTTTTCTGATGGCCCACGAAAGGATTTGCTCTTTTAATAAAGACAAGTGTTGAAATTATGCTACATCGTCCACTGTATACCTTCAATGGCATAAGTCCAAATTTTGATCATCAATTTTACTTGGCAGAATAGCACAGCCTGGTAATTGTTTTGAGGTAAAAATGGACCTACCGTAGTCATGTCTTGTGGTTCTGGATATGCAGTACTTAGGAAAAAAGTATGACTTTCGGTGAATTCGTATCTCAGTGGAAAAGGATTACAGAATTTAAACCATGATCCTTGGTTACTTTGCTGTACATGTTACCTAAAATACTTCTGCCAAGTGACAAGCAAGCAAACTGAATTAACCTCCTGGTTGCAAAAAATGCTATTAGTCTGCTGATGCTTCAAATCCTTTACAAAACCTATAATATTTGTTAAATTCTGCATTAATGCAATAGTCTACACAAGCCAAGGGTCTAAATCAAAAGCAGAAGTGAAAAACAGTAAAATCATTTCGCATTAAAGTGGCAACCTAAATTTACACAATTAAAAATGTGCATTTATGGATAGGCTGTGCATACCAGATATCAGTATGGTTTTTTCACACGCTGCTCTACAACGCAAGGGTCACACCAACGAACTTTTCTCGTTAACTGTGCCCTTGGAGAACTATTTAAGTTTTAAGGTTGGTCTATAAATGCGGTAGAAAGCAGCGTCAAAAACAGGTATCAAATTCTAGCACTTAAAGTCAGGGTTTCTCTTTGGTGAAATTAGAAATCATATTTTAACTTGGACACTCTCTGCATTTGCCTCCCAGTTTAGTCACACTTAATTTTGTTGATAGCCCTAAGGGAAGTCAAGGGTATAAGCATGTCAAAAATTTCACTTTTACTGCATTTGAAGTAGAAAAAGCTAAATATTCCTAGCCAAAATTTAACAAATAAAATATAGTCAAACAATGGCATTAATTGTTTATATTTTTTCAAATTAAGCTAGATTGTTTTTCGTTTTTGTTATATGAAACCGGCATAATGGTTTTCTTAAATAGCCGCATAAACTTAAGTAGTTATGAATGAATTAGATCTTAGAATTTTGCCTTTTAAACTAACCGATCATGTGGCTGCTCAGTAAAATAAATAATTTCCGAATATAATGCAAAGTTTATTAAACATTATGAGCAGATATTACTGCAAGCGATTCAGGTAGCTTCACAACTCGCATAGCATAAAAAAACCGCCCAACATCAAAATAGGCAGACATTCTATCTAGAATATGGCGGTAAGATATTGGACGGACACAAATTTTGACGAGGTGTAGTGAGGAAGAAGGGGAATGGACAAAAATCTTTATCGTTTAGGATAAGGTTTTTATGACTGTCATGAACCATCCGCGTTCCTTTAAACTCCTGTCGCCTCACTCCCTCTTTTTCTACTATATCCACTCTTGCCGCGCAGTCTATGGTTGGCTGTGTGTGCTGTCACCGCTGCATTGCACTTTTTGCTTTACTTTGAGATGTTTCTTCAACATTCTAGTAGCTTCGTTCACGAACTATGGTTTTTATCCATAATGCCAAAAAATTTAGTAAAATTACGGATTTTTGTATTTAGCCAAAAATAAAGGTCGGTGGGCGGAACAAAGTAAATCTTTAATAGCAAAAACACTTTAGGTTACAAATGCGTTTACTTGATAACTCAAACATATTACAGAAATGCAACTTAGACTGCCACTTCGCGTATCCAAACGTCTTATTTTAGCTCAAGAGGTGACTGTTGCGAGTGTTCCAGACGAATGACCAAGTAACTTAAAAGGATTGCTGGTAAAACACGGGTGAAATGCAAAGGAAATGAGTTGTGAAATAGTCCTTAGCGCTTTATTTTGCTTCTCAATGCAGTTTTTCTGACGAATGACTGAAAGAATGCATCGCATTGACTTTGATGAGATGTATCAGTCGAGCATCTTAACTCTAACTAATAATCTGGTATGCACAGAGAATGGTAAACAAAGGAAATTTTTAAAACCAGACACATTCAGTAAGAATGAAAGATGCATTATTCTCATAAGTATGAAGTGAGTGAGGTGTCAAGGGAAAAAGTACACCTTTTATGAACTTAAGAATCTCAACGTTCAAGGACGGAATGTAGTAAGGAGATATCAGGTGACCAAAGGTTTGGGGCGGTTTTCCACAATTTATGGTAATTGTTGATGCAAAGCACTTAACTTTGTCTACAGAGGCTTGTGCTTGCCATGTACACGCATTTGTTTGATAGCCTGGAGTGGATTGCGCTGCAGATGCGATCGTCCATAGTAAACTGATCACCTGGCAAATGCTAAAAAAAATGACAGAATTTTACCTACCTCATGCATTTAGACAAAACTTGAAGGTGACAGAGAAAAACTTCTTTTGATTGTCAGC